GTGATCTGACAAGACACAGGTAGTTACTAATATTTTTTTGTATCTGTGGAAGTTTGCTTTGTTACCGAGTATGTGGTCAATTTTCGAGAAGGTTCCATGAGCTGCAGAGAAAAAGGTATATTCTTTCCTATTTGGGTGGAGTGTTCTATAGATGTCTGTTAAGTCCATTTGATTCAATACCTCCAATAATTCTCTTATTTCTCTGTTTGGTTTCTGTCTGATTGACCTGTCCATTGGTGAGAGAGGAGTGTTGAAGTCTCCTACTATTAGTGTGTGTGGTTTGATGACCGCCTTGAGTTCTAGAAGAGTTTCTTTTACATATGTGGGTGCCTCTATATTAGGAGCATAGATATTCAGGATTGAGACTTCCTCCTGATGAATTGTTCCAGTTATGAGTATGAAATGTCCATCTCCATTTCTTCTGATTGATTTTAGTTTGAAGTCGATTTTGTTAGATATTAGAATGGCCACGCCCGCTTGTTTCTTAGGTCCATTTGCTTGGAAAACCTTTTCCCAACCCTTTACTCTGAGTAAGTGTCTGTCTTTGTGGTTGAGGTGTGTTTCTTGTAAACAGCAGAATGTTGGATCCTGTTTTCGTATCCAATCTCTAAGTCTGTGCCTCTTTATAGGTGAATTGAGTCCATTGATATTAAGTGATATTAATGACCAGTGGTTGTTGACTCCGGTCATTTTTTTTTTTTTTTTAGGTAGTAAAGTGTATGTGTTTTTCTTCTTTGATTTGTGCTTGTGAATGGTCGCTAGATGTTCGAGTTATTGTAGGCCGTGTTGGGAATGTTGGATTCCTTGGGTTGTGATTTTCCTTCTAATATTCTCTGTAAGGCTGGATTAGTAGCTACGTATTGTTTAAATTTGTTTTTATCCTGGAATATTTTGTTTTCTCCGTTGATAGTGAACAATAGCTTGGCTGGGTATATTAGTCTGGGTTTGCATCCATGGTCTCTTAGTTTCTGCAGTACCTCTATCCAGGATCTTCTGGCTTTCATGGTTTCCATAGAGAAGTCCGGTGTAAGCCTGATAGGTTTACCTTTATAAGTTACTTGACCTTTTTCCTTTGCAGCTCTTAAAATTTTTTCTTTAATATTTATGTTTTGTGTTTTGATTATTATATGGCGCGGGGATGTTTTTTTCTGATCCAATCTATTCGGTGTTCTGTATGCTTCTTGAACCTTCATAGGAATATCGTTCTTTAGGTTGGGAAAGTTTTCTTCTATAATTTTGTTGAATATATTTTCTGGGCCTTTGATCGGCAGTTCTTCTCCTTCTTCAATCCCTATTATTCTTAGATTTGGTTTTTTTATTGTGTCCCAGATTTCCTGAATGTTTTGTGAAGAGAATTTGTTGGATTTGCCATTTTCTCTGATCAGAGCATTTATTTTCTCTATGGTATCTTCAGAATCTGAGATTCGTTCTTCTATCTCTTGTATTCTATTGGTTTTCCTTGATTCTGTAGTCTCCGCTCGTTTACCTAGGTTTTCCATATCCAGCCGGTTCTCGTTTTGTGTTTTCTTCATTGCCTCCATTTCAGTTTTCAATTCTTGGACTGTTTCCTTTACTTGTTTGATTGTTTTTTCTTGGTTTCTCAGGGTATCACTCACGGATTTACTTATTTCTTCAAACTTTTTGTTATATTTCTCATCCATTTCTATACTCATTTCTTCAAACTTTTTGTTATACTTCTCGACCAGTTCCTTAAGGGAGTTATTCATATCCTGTTTAAGGGACTCTATTGCTTTCATAATGGCACTTTTTTCCACTTCATCTGGGTTAGAGTGTTCAAATCCTTCTGTTGTAGGGTCGTTGGGATCTGATATTTTCATGTTGTTTTTCAGATTGTTGGAGGAGGTCTTGCCTTGGCGTCTGCCCATCTCTTCGATCCAATGCTCTCTATTGGAACTTCTGGTATCGGGTCAGGTTCCCTTGTTGGGCAGGGAGTTCACTGATAGAATGCCTACCTTTCCCCAGGCAGGGTATTGAAGCACAAGCACTCCCTCTTTCCGGGATGCCCCTACAGAGCAGGCCCAGTGTGCAAGGCAGCTGAACTGGGGAAATTTTATGGCCTCAGTGGGAGGGGAGAAATATAGAAATTTGTACCTGGATGGAAGCTGGGATGGCTGGCGGGGAAGCTAGCAGGGTGGAGCCAGCAGAGCAGGCTGACCTGGGAGTCTATGGGGTCGGGGAAAGTCCTAGCTCCTCCTCGCCGGGCCCCTGCCGCGAGCCCGAATCCCCAGCTTTTTATTTAAAAGTTCAGATTTTATTTTATGTGTATCGGTCTTTCTGCCTGCATGTATGTTCGTGCACATGCGATCATCACGCTTGCATAGGCTTGCCAGCAGCTCCATAGTCCCTGGCACCTGAGTTATAGATGATTCTAAGTCATCACGTGGATGCTTAGACTCGAATCAAGGTTCTCTGCAAGAACAACCAGTGCTTCTCGCTGCCGAGCAATCTCCCCAGCCCCCAGCCACTGATTTTTGACAGGGAAGTAAAAAGAAACACACGTTGGAGAAAAGTAAGCCTCTTCAACAAAATACTTTATTCTCACAGAAGAATGAAACAAGACCTCTCCTTGCCCCTGCGCAAAAGTCAGCTCCAAATCTAGCTGTGAGCTTCTTTACAGGATGGATTGGGGAAAGGTTCATTGACCTCCATGCTTGTCGTATTTGTTCATCTAAAGCTGGATGGCTTCTCTCTGTGCGTGCGTGCGTGTGCGTGCGTGCGTGTGCATGCGTGCGTGCGTGTGCGTGCGTGCGTGTGTGTGCGTGCGTGTGTGTGCCCGCCCTATGGGATGTTAAGTAGAGACGCCAATGGTTTTCCCCACCTGTTTTATGTTTTGCTTGTTTGTTTGTTTGTTTTAGAATATTTGGATTTTCTTGTTGTCCTTGTTTTTCCAGAGACAGAATCTCACTCTGGAGTCCGGGCCAATCTGGAACTCATGACAATTCTCCTGCCTCAATCACCCACACGCTGGTATTACAAGCTTGGATCAACATGCCCAGCTCCCTTGCCTGGTTTTCTTCATTGTGCTCTTATTTGTTTATTTTCGATTCATGTTTCTAGAGATTGACTTATTTTAATTTTTGTGTGTGAGTGACTGTATCTATGTCTGTGCATCAGGTGCATGCAGTGCTCACAGAAGTCAGAAGGGGGCGTTGGATCCCCGGGACTGGAGTTACAGACAGTTGTGAACTGTACATGTGGTGCTGAGCATCAAACTTGGGTCCTCTCGGACAGCAGCCAGTGCTCTTAGCCCTGAGTTATCTCTCCAACCCATCCACTCATGGTTTTAGTTGTTTTGTCTAATTTTATGTGTCATTAAATTTTGTTTAAAAAGAAAATTCAAAGTTTGGAATGCTGCTTACACAGAAATAGCAAAAACAGGAGGGTTAAGAATTGAGATTTTCCATTTTCTTGCATCTTACTGCTACTTAATCATGCCTAATTCTATAATCATTTAAAAGTTATTTGCTTTTTTACATTAAAATTTAAGAGTAGGAGGTCTCTGCTTAACATCCCACATGGCTCACTGGTTGAAAGCACCTACTGCTTTTATAGAGAATTCAAGTCAGTTTCCTGCACCCACATAAATTTGTTGAAAATGTCTTGCAGCTCCAGCCCCAGAGGTGCTGATCCCTTTTTGTGGCTTCTGCAGGGACTTGAGCTCATAGTTTTGATCATGGGCACATACACATGTGCTTTACACACACACTAAAAATAGACCTTCAAAAGTAGGTGTGTAGTACACTTTCACTCTATGTGTGCTCCTATTAGTCACAGAATAAAACAAACCAAGAGATTTACCAGACCGACCACTGATGCACTTGTTTCTTTAGTGTGTTGTCGACTGCCTTTTGGGATGAGTGAAGTTTGTGTTGTGTCTCCTCAGGAAAATCCTACCACAAAACAGCTCTTGGCACTCATTACAGACAGCTCGCAACCGTCTCTAACTCTACTTTCAAGGGCTCTAATGCCTTCTTCTGGACTCCAAGGGCACTTGCATAAGGGTGACATTCACTCATGGACACACACATAGGTGAAATAATAGTGATAGTAAATCACTTAAAACAGAATATAAGATAATATTATTTCTATCCTCAGGCAGACACAAATGCAAATCTCAGTGAGCCAGTACCACACACATATTCTCTCTCTCTCTCTCTCTCTCTCTCTCTCTCTCTCTCTCTCTCTCTCACACACACACACACACACACACACACACACACACACACACACCAGAATGGCTAAATTTAAAAAATGACTATTGACTTGTGTGGCTGAAAGGGAGCCGGTTGTAAAGTGTTCGTCCACTTGACAGTATCTTAGGACATTAAGCAGAGCCCTAGCACCTTAAGCCCTAATGTCCTGCTCCTTTAACCTGCTCATGAGTAAAGCTGTATTCATCGGAGGGTACAAAGCACACTCGGTATTTCAACCCAGAGGAGACAGTTGTGAAAGCAACAAAACGAGACAAGAACTGCAAGGTGTGTTGTCTCAGTGCAACCATCAGTCAACACAGATTTAATAAACTGAGTCGCTGAAAAGCATTTTTGAAAATGTGGCTAATGGGTCAGAAAGTTTGTAATCAGAAGGGTGTGAGGAGGGTTGGAGTCAAAGTGCGTTTTGATGAGAATGGTCAAGAAAGGCCTTGTAGAGGAAACTCGGTCCAAATTGCCTGGGTCTCACAGTAGTTCCTGATTGGCTCAGAGCCACCACAAAGATGGGTGGGACATGAATGTTCGGTTCCTGATTGGCAGTGGTGATTTTGCCTCATCTTCCAGAGGCAAGTGCACAAAGCAAAGCTTTATAACCTCACTTGTTGGTTGTGGCATAGAAGCGCAGTCACTCATTGGCTGTTGAGTAAGATGCTCATACTTCACCAGGTCGTAGACAGCCGACAGTCAGACACACACACACATACACACACACACACACACACACACACACACGACGTCTATGCGCTGCAGAGACTGTCACGTGGCCCTCCTGTGCCACTCTAGCGTGGCAGACAGAATATGACAGGCTGCCTGAGCCTATGGGAGGGAGGGTCCATGGGATTCTTGTGCGTGGAGATCCTCCATACTGGGTTTCCAGGGACATGGAGTTCCTCCCTTAGTCACAGAGTCTTCAGACAGCGTATCCTTGGACGTCTCACGAGACAGCCACAGGGCGGTTAAGCCGCTCTGCAACCTCAGCACCGAGGTAACGCGAGTTCCTTGGTTTGTCCAAGGCCCGTTCTGGATCGGAGAACGGCGACTGACAACCGGTCAGTTTACCAGGTGCCAGTTTAGTCAGTGTATGCTAGAAAGCCTGTCCCTCCTCAGTCACCCGATCAGCTTTCCGCCTCTCAGTCAGCTGTTCGCCTTGCCCCCGGACCCCACCTCGGCAGTCCCCTAGTGAGCCTGTTACCCTTCAAGTCGCTTGCTTGTTCCGGCTCTCTCTTGTTCATCCTGCCACCCCTCAGCCACTTAATCACCCTGTTTCCCTCCAGTCTCTTTCAGTGTGTCACTAATTTAACCTGAAAAGAAGCCAGTGGATCACTGTTCTACTAACAGAACAGACGGTAAGCATGGGAATTAATTATCAGGTTAGTGGCTGTTGTAAATCAGGTAATCCCATAATCGATCTCTGTCATAACAGACATAACATGACAGGTCCATCCTTAATTAGGCTCCCACCAATCTCTTGGTAAAATAATCCCAATTACCTGTAATCCTAGTTCTTGTGAGGTGCAGGCAGGAGATTCAGGATTTCAAGGTCATTCTTAGCTACACAGAAAGGTCAGCCTTGGCTATATAAAATGTTGTGTAAAGCAACACAAAATAAAATTTAACAGTTGACAAACACTTGGCTGGTAAGAGGAAGATGGGGAGACAATCAGGTAAGTGGAAGTGTGCTGAGGAAAAAGGATTTCATGGAGTCCCGAGAACAAGACTTCAAGTAAGATTAAGAGAAATGAAGACCAAAGGAAAATCATGAAGGGATCCATTAGTAGCCATCCTACCTACACCCCTTAAAGCCTGACAGAGAAAAGCAAGAAGAAATCTGAATTCTAAAGCTAGATCAATAAATCTCACCTATGTAACATGAATATGAGAACAAAATTGGAGAATGGATATTTGACCAGAGTTATTTGGGGATCTACTGACAAGGCTTGAGCCAGGACCCATCTTGGGCTCATTCTGACACCTAGAATGAGGTTTTAAGTTAGAAAAAAAGAAAGAAAAAATTGACAAATTAAAACAAGGCTTGTGTTTGATGTGGAAGTAGAACATAAGACCGGTGAGCCCGGCAACGCCATTCCTCTGTGAGGGGTATGAGCAATCATCCTCTGCTTGGCTTTCCTCGAATCCATCACCATGTAGTCAGGGACTAGCCCAGTCTACACAGTCAGTCACAGAGGTCTTCCTATTCCAGCCTCCATGTAACAGGATTACAGGTGTGAGCCACCACATCTGGCTATGAATTTACTGATTGATTTATTCAGACTCATTTCTGTATGGTGAAAGGAACACCAAAAGTCTAAATTCTACTCAGTCCTCTGAGTCTTGTCCCCCATCCCTCACATTCCAACTCAAGTACATCATTCTTTCTCAATAACAATAGAGGCCTCTGTCCAAGTCATCTGCAGTCATTCCCAATCTGGTCATTTCTTTAATGTCCCAATGGAAGAACCCCATTCATGCACACCTCTTGATCCCATCCCTCCATGGTTTACTATCTTAATTAGGGTTTCTATTGCTGTGAAGAGACGCCATGACCATGGCAACTCTTATAAAGAAAGAAAATTTAATTGGATTGGCTTACATTTTTAGAGGTTTAGTCCATTATCATCATGATGCAGCTTGGTGACATGCAGGCAGACATGTTGCTGGAGAAGGAGCTCAGAGTCCTACATCTTGACTTTCAGGCAACAGGAAGTAGTCTGAGACACTGGGCATGGCTTGAGCATATATGAGACCTCAAAGCTCACCTCCACAGTGACACACTTCCTCCAACAAGATCACACCTCCACCAACAAGGCCACACCTTTTAATAGTACCACACGCTTTGGGGACCATTTTCTTTCAAACCACCACAACCTGCTTTGCAAAGATGTTCCCGCTCACCCACCTCCACATCTTCTTTCAGTTGCCATCGGCTCAATCCTCACAGTGAAGAGTATTGTATGCCTGGGAGTTCTTGCTCTTGCGTATGGGTCTGCCACCTCTCCAGTGGGGTAAGTGGGGTCAAGAAACACTTCTAGATCTGTCTGAGGAAGCCACAGTCAGAACTGTAAAGACAGATCAGAGGTTGCAGAAGATCATTGTGGATTGGACATCATCTGTCTAGGATCCCCCCATGAGGGCTAGGGTTATGACTCAGGGGTGGAGCTCCTGCTAGAATCCCCCAGATAAGGGGCTGGAAGCATGGCTCAGCAGTAGATACCTCCTGAGAATCCCCCAGTGAGAGACTGGGGTGTGGCTCAGTAGTAGAGCGTTGTCTAGTGTGCGGAAGACTTTGAATTTCAGTCACAGTGTGAGAAACAAAGAAAAGAAAGCTGGGTCCTTAAGGGAGAATTAAAAGAAAAATCAGGTGACCTTGCTGGCCCCTGACCCTCCCTCTCCACAGAAGCTGCCAGACTGCTCCACTCTTTCTGTGCCGTGGAGAAGACTTTGCAGTGCAGTTGCTCCTTTCGTGGGATCCCCACACCCTCTGTGCAGTGGTGGATGGACGGTGTTCCTGTGGATGTGAGCAGTGGGCATGGCCACCTCCAGGTGACCTCCACCACACTTGGCCCCTGGGACAACAGCACCCTCGGCATGGCCAAGGACCCAGAAATGGGCTCAGTCCTTCTTTGTGAGGGAAAGAACCAACATGGAACCCATGGTTTGAGCATCCTACTGATGTCAAGTGAGGGTGGGACTTGGAGGCTGGGTGAGGGCAGTGAACGGGGAGGGACTGGCACTGAGGTCGGAAGAGGGACCACAGCCCAGAATCCAAATCTTAGGAAAGGCTTCCTGGGGGTGAACAAGACGGCTCAAAATGGACAGGTGCTTGCTGCCAAGCCTAACACCTGAGTTCAAACCTCAGGCGCCACACGGCGGGAAGAGGAAACAGACGACTGCAGCTTGTCCTCTGACCTCCACATGCACGCTGCAGCACATGCAACACCCCCTACACACACGGAAAAAATGCAATTTTAAAATGTTTTTGCCTATAAAAACAAAGTCTTACTGAAATGCCTTCCACTTCTAGGAAGGGGCCCTTTGGCTCCCCAGATCTTCCTGAAAGCGTTGGTCCAGGGTGTTGTCTATGCAGCCATGGCAACCACACTACTTTTCCTCTGCCTCCTCCCCTTCATGTGAGTATGTCAGAGCCCATTTTATGCTATGTAACCAAACATCTGAAATGAGCTAATTTATGAAACACAGAGGTTTACTTAGGTCAGGGTTCTGAAGATTGAGGAAGTGCAAGAACATGGTGCTGGCATCTAGATCCAGCAAGGACTAAAATGCTTTATCACTCACACAGTGAGATGCAGAGCAAGCACCTCTTCTCATAAAGTCACTAATGCCATCATAAAGGCCTCACCTTCCAACCCCCCGAATCCTATCTGGCAATGAGAAGAATGTAATTGGGACTGAGTAACTGTCGACCAGGGGGAGAGGAAGAAGAGGAATAAAGTGGTACAGTATAGAGAGGAGCTGGAGTCAAAGGCAAACACAGGTTGGAAATATTGTACAGCATATGTAGAACCCTGGGTTCAATCCCCAGCACTACATAAAGCAAGTGCTGTGGTGCATGGCCCTAATCCCAGCACTCAGGAGAAAGAGGCAGGAAGATCAGAAGTTCAATGTCATCATCTGTAATGTGGTGAGTTCAAGGATGGCCTGGGCTACCCGAAACTGTCTCAATAGGCAATCAATCAATCAATCAATCAATAACGAAGCATTGCAGCGATGGCTCAGTAGTTAAAAATACTGGCTACTCTAGCCGAAGAGTAGGCTTAGTTCCTAGCACCCACATGGTGGCTCACAACCCATAACTCCAGTTCCAGAGGATCTGCCACCCTCTTCTGGCTTCCGAGGGCGCACATGTGGTGCACAGACATACATTCAGGCAAAGCACCCATAATCACACAATAAAAATAAGCTTTTAAATTCCTAACTCCCCCCAGAAAACAAATAAATTAAATAAATAACAATCTCTGCAGCTGGCCCATCTGAACCCCGCGGCCTTTTAAGCAGGGAGTCCTGATTACACAGGGTGTGATACGAACCTGCAGAGAGGTTGGGTGGCTTTCTCTAGACAACACAGCAAGCAGACTCCTTTGGAGATTTCAGCCTTGGATGCTGGACAGAACCAGAGACCACGTGGGGATGCAGAGGCAGGAAATCAGAACTAATCAGAAACACATTTCCTTAGAGTGAAACTTCTCAGGATGCAGCAGGCAAAGAAGTGGGCACAGATGAGAACCCAGCAGGGCTCTCAGCCTGGACCAGAGGGAGACTCCATCATGAAGCCCGAGGAACCTAGAAAATCCAGAGCTGAATCACCTGGGAAGCAGCTCTAGGTGAGTGCCCCTTGCATCACAATGGAATTCGGTCTAGCAGGACAGCGTTAGTGGGAGAAGTTTGTGGGCTGCTTTGGAGAGAGTGCCCAGTCTGTGGCCTGTATAATACACAATTAGCTTGAGGGTTGTTTCACAGGTACTGATGCTGGGGCCGCAGAGTCTCATGGAAGAGACGAAGAAGCATAGTTTAAAGGATTATTAGAAATATCAACACACACACACACGATACGAATCCCCACTGGGAAGTAGGTTGATGCTCCCATGGCAGTAGTGGCAGCATCAGAGCGGGAACCACAGGTGTGGCCTCTGGTGTGCAGGAGGCAGCAGACACTTCCAGCCTAAGACCAAATCACTGCCGAGTGCTTGGAGACTCAGTTTTGTGGCCAAATACCCGACAGAAGCAACTGAAAGGAATCTATTTGATCCATGGTTCAAGGGATGCCGTCTCTAATGGTCAGTACTAGCTGTCAGCTGGACAGGACCTAGAATTACCCGAAAGATGGGCATCTGGACATATCTGTGAGGCTTGTCTTGATTGTGTGGACTGAGGTGGGACGACCTGCCCACTGTGGGTGGCACCGTTTCTGCCAGGGATCATGAACTGTGTGGGTGGAGAAATTGAGCTGAACACTATCTGGCATGCACAAGTTCATTGCTGTATTCCCAGCTGTGGCTGTGATGTGATCAGTTGCTTCAAGCGCCTTCTGCCTTGAGCTCCCATCTGGATGGACTGCACCTTGAACTGTGAACCAAAATAAAGTCTTTTTGGCTGGAGGGATGACTTAATGCTTAAGAGCAATTCCTGCTCTTTCCACAAGCCCTGAGTTCTGTTCCAAGCACTCACATCAGACATCTCACAACTGACTGTAATTCCAGCTCTCGAGGGTCTCATTCCCTTTTCTGGCCTCTCTGGGCACCTGCACACGTGCTCACAAATTCACATAGACACATAAATAAAAAGCACAGGTTAAAAACAACATCATGGAAAAAAGGAAGAAGCGGAGAGCTCAGGCAGGAAGCAAGGCCAGGGAATGACTCCCTAGGGTCCACCCACAGTTGGCCACCTGTGCCAGCCATTCATTCAGTCCCAAAGGTTCCACTACCTCCCCAAACAGTATTTCCAGCAGGAGAGCAAGTGCTCAACACAGGACCCTGTATTCTAATTTCACATCCCAACCATAGCACCAGGTTGTTCCTTACTTCACCTTGAAGCCCACAACCCCAGGACATCTTGACTGAAGCAGGGTTCATTCTCCTTTACCACCTGTGAGTCTCCAGAACCATGGGGTTCCTGCTGCTCTTACTTACTTTTCTGTGGCTGTGCTAGAACGCCAAGACCAAGGAAGAGCTTGTTTGAGTTTACAGTTCCAGAGGGTTAAGAGTTGCTTGTGGTGGTGGTGGCAGGCACCGGCATCAGGAGCAGGAGGCTGACAGCTCACAGGTCCATAGGCTAGAAGCTGAGCACAGGCAGTAGTAAGTGGGGTGAGACTACACACACTTACAGCCCACCCCCAGTGACACACTTCCTCCAGCAAGACTGGGCTCCACCTCTCAAAGGCTCCGTGACACCCCAAACAGCGCCACCAACTGGGGACCAAGTGATTCATACCACCCCACCAGTTCCCTCCTAACAACCTGTGCACAGAGCTAGTGTCCCTTTGTGGATAAGCTGTGTGTTCTACTTTGAATGTGAACCCCACTCCCAGTTCACATAATTTGAACTCTTGTTTCTCAGCTGGTGGTGCTGCTGTGGAATATTATGAAATCTTTAGGAGACAGACAGAGCTTGGCTGAAGGAAGTGCGGTATTATGTAATGGGGTAGGGCTTAGGTTTCTATATACTGCCCCATTGATGTCTGCTCTCTGCTTCCTCTGCACTGGGCAAGGCGAGGTGCCAGGATGGATTAGACCTAGCCCTTACCCTCAGAGAGGAACCATGCTGGTAAGAAAAGGTGTTCTCACAGGAAGAACTGAGCCAGGGGGTTAGGGTAACCCAGAACATGGGGAAGCACTTGCCTGAGGTCATCATGTACAACATCCCAGGACTCTGAGAATTGTTCTGGGAGCCCCTGGTCATACCAGGCAGGGTCAGAGGGAGAAGAGGTTTGTAGGCTCCGGTCATGGTGTCTCGAGGAAAGTTAAGACAGTGTTTGGTCCACTTTTCCTCAGAGTTCCTCCTTGGGTGTGGCTACTTCACCTGTAAATCTGTTCCATCTTCTCTCTTTGCCCCGCCTCCTCACCGTCCAGGAAAAGGAAGACAGCCTGAAGCCAGCGGAGCCTCTGGAGGAAACTGCACCACACCCAAAGCTCCCACTATCGCCAGAATTACAAAAGCCCATGGAGACCCCAGAAACCCCAAGTCCATAATAAACATGAGGTCCTGCAAATCTGAGCTCACAAATCCCTCTCAGCCTCTACACAACCTGTACACTCCAAGGTGTGGAGACAACCCCTGGGCCTGGGCTCGGGACTTTAAAAGGTCACCTGTATGGCTGGTGTTTGGTGATGGGCCTCACAAGACTATACAGTAGATGTACAGCTGGCAGACCGCTGGACAGATCTGCAGGAGTCTGGTCTGGTGAGAAACCCAATCTGCAGAGCTTTGGGAACACTTGTCTTTTGGATAGTCACTGTAAGTTCTGTAGAAATTCTGTGAAATCGTGATGTTTCTCCCTTCCATAATATCCCAGCAGTGTATAAATCATTCTTTAAATGTGAATTCTCCTGCACTGGCAACTGGATACATTTTACCTCACCAGTGAGCCCTGGTATGAAAACATTCACTCAGCCAAATTGTTGTTCTCATAGTCAAATCTCCACAAAGCTAGACTCCCACCATTGTCCTTATTGCCAGGACTTATTGACAGAAAGGAGCCCTGAGCAGGAGGCACTGAGCAGAGAGAGTACGCCTGTTCTCACTGAACATTCAGGTCACACCATGTCTGGGTGACCTGAATTCTCTAGCAGCAGACTCAGGAAGTGTAATCTACTGGCCTTTGCTCTAACCTAACAAGCTATTAATATTTACCCTCCACCTAGGTTTCAATTAACATAAGATCATAGCCCAGGGAATTAACTGTTAATGCCTTTACTCCTAGAGATACAAGGAAAAGGCTTGAATCACTACGCCAGCCCCAGAGAAAGAAATTCCTTCTCACCTGGGAGCTGGCAAACCCCACTGGCCTGGAAGCAAAATCTTCAAAGAAATTCCCTTTAACTGGCTAGCTAGATGCTGATACAAATCATGTACCTTTGCCTTCCTCCCAAACCCCGGGGTTGCTATGGTTACCAACACCGACTTCTCAGCCACCAGGGAAGGACGCAGAAGTACTCAGAAAGTGCAGCAGCACTCTTGCATTCCCTACAGTTATTAACCACAACTCCAGCTTAACTAGTTAAAGTTAAGAAATGCAGTTAGCACATGAAATTGTTCTAGAATTTTGTATTGATTCTTAATTAATCCTCTCAGTATCTGCCGGGGAGCGTCACAACCAGGCTCCTTCTGAGACATAAGGTGCCTCCTTTACCTGTGTTTGTGATTCTGTGAATTCATGCTTGTTAACTGTCTGTGGTTATACAAACTGGAAATCATGTGGGGTGGATAGAACAGTGAGGAACACCTGAAGAGGAACAGTGAACAGCAGCGAGGAGGAACATGGAAGAGAAACATCAAAAGAACCTTGGAGAGAGCAGAGAAAGGATAGATGAGACATAATAAAACAACATATGTGAGCTAGTTTATGTTGTTCACCCTCAGGTATCTTTAGTCAGTTTTGCCTGCTATAGCGATCCTTCTGAACCCTGAGAGGTTTCGTGGATTTATGCTCAACATCAACTTCGATAGTTTGGGTGAGCCAAAAGATACATGTCTCGCTCGAAGGCAGGGTCACGGAGAGAAAAATGACTGCACACAGCACCGTGAAATAAGGGATTTTTGATCCCCATCTTCATAACCAGTTCCACAGACAGGCACACAGACAGACAGACAGACAGACAGACACATGCACACACATACACAATCTAATCCCAACTGAAGCGCCTAGCTTCAGACTTCAGTAGGCTCACACACTGTGTACTGGAGTGGAGACCGCGCTGTGAAAAGTGGTACCCAGAGACACGGGTAGAGAATATATGCCATGATGAATTTGGGCTCGAAGAAAAAAACATTGGAAGGTTATGTCATGGCACCATATCCTTACCCTTAGAATGTTGACTCCTTGGGAACAGGAGTTTGCCTGTCTTGTTTCCTCCCTCACCAGCACTGAGAATGGTGCCTAAGATCTAAGATGCATGCAGAACTGTTTGTGAAATGCGTGAACAAATGAACGAATGAATGAATGAATCATGAGCTGTTGCAAAGTTTGAAGCCAAGAAATAGACTGAACAGATCTATAGAGAAAGCTTGTTCTCTGAGTGAGAGAAATGGCGTATATGGTATCTTCAGCGGGGGCAGAGGTAAGGCAGAGGCAGTGAACCTGCTTAGGTGAACTCTGCAGTGTCTCTTGGCATTTCATGACTTTCCTGGGAAGAAGAAAAAAAAAGTGCCCATCTCCAAAGAAGACCAAAGAAAGGATTTCTATGTCTAACCTGGCCAAATAAGTGAGTTTGTTAGGGTTGCCGACAGGAGCATGGTGACCTGTGTGCGGTGGTCCTGTGGAACATTGTGCGGCTGTTCCCTTCTGCTGCTGTGGCTGTGGCAACACACTCAGAGCAACTGGGAGAGGGATGATTTACTAGGCTGACACTTTCAAGTGTCCGTCCGTCACTGGGCCAAGGCAGAAAACTACAGCAGAGACTGTGGAGGAATGCTGCTTGCTGGCTCCCTCATGGGCTCATGCTTAGCTGGCTTTCTTATCCATCCCAGCATTTCCTGCCTAGGCATAGTACCACCCGCAGTTGGCATGCTCCCCTGATACGCATCAGTCAGTACATTCATAAAATAGACAGATTTGATTGTAAAATGTGGGGAAGTGACAAGAAGAAAGTAGACAGAATGCTGTTAACAGGAACAGGAGAGTCAGAGAGTGAACATCAGGAGGAAGAGCAGGGCATCTGAAGGGACTCTAGCCTCCCTGAACCTGGGAAACAAGGCTCTGGCAGGCCTTGCCCTTTTCCCATCCCCTCTGCGGTGCTGGAAACCATTAGACTGCATTCCTAAATCTAGCCACCAAGGACTATTATTTGGCCACTTCCTCCTTCTGAGGTTGGCTACCAAAATCCATCTATCAAAATATTGAAGCATAGCAATCAAACCCTCTCTTTGGTTCATCTAATTAACACGCCCAACTAAAATTAAACACCTCATTCTAACAGGTTCCCCTTTTACGTTTACAAACTGCCATTTGCCTATGGGTCATGTCTGTCTCCTCTCTATCCGGAGAGTCATTTGTCCTCCAGGACAAATACCCCTGCCCTTCTCCCTCATCCTTTATCTCCTGTCTTTGACTCCTATTCCCTGCCCTTTGTCTCTCTTGGGCAAATAAACCTTTTTTGCCCTGAGAACTTGGTCTTGGGATGTCTTGTGCCAATACCGGTCCCTTCAGTATAGAGACCTAACATGAGTCAATCAGAGGAAGCAGTGCATTGTGGGACCAGATTGGAGAGACGACTTAAGTTCAAGAGTGCAAGGCAGGCCCAACGTGAGAGGGTGTAGGTTTATTTCAGAAGGGCCAGAATTTGTAGAGTCCCAAGCACTCTGGTGAGTTTATGTTTTTAACTGTGTGTGTGCACGCACACAGGTACCTTTATAGAGTCCAGAAGAGGGCATAGGGCATTGGGTCCCTGGAGCTGTAGCAACAGACAGTGTTCACAGTGCAGGTGCTGGGAAGTGAATGAGTCCTCTGCAGGCTTTGTTAACCTCTAAATAATCTCCCCACTCCCCGAGTTTGACTGTTCTTCCCACTCTTGGAGGGCTGTTTGCTCCTGCTCTTTGTAATTTGCAAAAATAAGTTCATATAGTGTGGCTTTGTTATTTTTTATTACATCTCATTTATCCTTCTGGGTACACACATGTAGTGGTTAGTGAAAAACTTTTGGCTCTCTCTTTCTACCATGTGTACCCTGAGGATCACACTCGGGTCATCTGGCTTGACAGCAAGTGCCTTTACCTGCTTTACTATCTCTCCAGTCCCAATGAAGATTTATTTGTATGAATTTGTGTGTAGAGAGGTGTTAAGTTATTTCTCCCAAGGAGACCTGAACATGAAACATCTATTCGTCCCAAAGAGGGCACCAACAGCATACTAAAGATAAACCCAGATCTAGCTTGGTTCACTGGTGAGGTTTGGCATGAGTAGGGATGAGGAGTTATCAGCAGGAATAGGGATGACTCAAGGGTGGTCCAGCACCACAAAGCCCACCTCAGGAGGAGGGAGGACTCATCAAAGTTGTAACCCCGGAGCTCCCTGCACAGCTTTCAGGGAATTGGGGCAGTAGGACAGTCTTCTCCGTAGCAGACACTGTGGTGCGCGCGCCACGTATGTGCCACAGTTTATATATAACTGTTTATATACAAGGAACGGCCTTGTAAATCTTGTAAGTTTCAAGAGCTCACAGAATTTATGTCTTACTTTCTGTGCGTTAATGGAACCGTTTGAATTTAGATGGAGGCAGAACCTTCTCCAATGGCTTGGGTCTGCCTCTTCCAAAGAAACAAAACCCTCACAGAGGTACCAGGGTACAAGATGGGAGAAAGCGAGTGTTGTTGGTAGATTTGGCAAAAGAGAAGAGAATGAGACGAAGGACTGGTGGAAAATCAAGTGTGATGGCTCAGCGTGCCTGTAATCCCAGTCCTTTAGGCTCAAGTGAGTTCCCATAGCAGATCGGCCTTGGCTTCTGATTAAAACTCTATCTTAAAACAAAAACAAAGGAAAAGTGATGGGGCCACGTTGGAAATAGGTCAGGGAGGGCTTGGGCGTGGGAGGTCCAGACCCTCCCTCCCACTTGCATGGGGGTATTGAGGCAGGGATGTCCTCTAAGAGACGGCTAGTCTAGCTTTTGCAGCGTCTAGAACCTCCTGCTCAAGAAAACAAATCTTTGAACAGTAGCGCTGGCTGCTGAAGGGCCTGCTCAGAAGGAAATCGGCTACTTTTCAGCGGCTCCACGCTCCGTAGATTCCCGTTTAGCACCTTCAGACTCTGGTTTGTTCTGAACAGGCATGCGCCTGCTCGTTGGTACCTCTGTGGGCGGGGCTTCTCAAGAATATCTGAGCTAGTCAGTTATGGTTTCTCAGACTTAGTACCTCCCAGTCTGCCCAGTGCTATTCTTCCTGTGGGTTCATCGGGGTGGGCACTGTGTCCTTAAATCAGCCGAATCAGTTTATCCCTCTGGACTTAAATTCCCCAGCCAGTGTCTATAATTGTAAGATAGCCCCTCACTGGATGCTTTCTGCGAACCTTCCCTGGAAAACCCAAGATAAGGCATGCTGAGGAGCCCAGAGCCCTAGGAAACCGAGACCAGGAGGGAGAATTGGAGAAAAAATTGAGGGGAGGGACGAGAAGTTGCTGAGAGGCAGCTCTGCAGCTTAGAGTGCTTACGGCTCTTGTTGAAGGCTGGAGTTCAGTTCCCGAGTCGGGTGGCTCGCAATCGCCTGTAACTCCAGCTCCAGAGGATCCAAGATCATCTTCGGATCTGCACTAGCATTCAAAGACGAACGGGGGTTCAGGAGGTCAAGGCCAGTCAGGACTATGGAGGGCGTTCTAGGTCAGTCTTAGCCACACATTGACCACATATTGAGACTCTGCAAAGGAAAAGAGAGCCTCAAGAACAGCTCCCAGTTTGCAGGTGAGGAGTGTAGGTATGTATGTGCGGGTGTCCATGTGTAGACACGCATGTGAAGGCTTAGCGATTCCCTTGGGTGTTGTTCTAGTGCTGCTTCATTGTTGTGAAGAGACACCATAATCAGGCATTTAACTGGGGCCTCGCTTACCATTGAAGAAGGCATTCGCCTCTGAGCATCACGGTGGGAAGCAGACAAGAACAGCAGTGGAACAGTAGCTGAGAGCGTTACATCCTGCTCCACAGGCAGAAAGCAGGGAGACAGACAAACAGACATAGGTCTGGCGTGAGCTTTTGAAATTTCTTAAGTCCCCAGTGGACACACCTCCTCCAGCAAGGCCACACACCCTCATCCATCCAAACATTTTCACTGAGAACTAAACATTCAAGTCGGGTAGTAGTGGTGTCCACCTTTAATCCCAGCACTCCCGAGGCAGAGGCAGGTGGATCTCTGTGAGTTCGAGGCCAGCCTGGTCTACAAGAGCAAGTTCCAGGACAGGCTCCAAAGCTACAGAGAAACCCTGTCTTGAAAAACAAACAAAAAAACAAACAAACAAAAGCAAACAAAAAATTCAAATGCATGAGACTATTGGAACCCTTCTTTTTTAAAATTGTTTTTATTGAGTTGTGTATTTTCTCCACTCCCCTCCCCTTCTGCCCTCTCCCATGGTCCCCACGGAGCCATTCTTATTCACGCCACCACGCATGCCATCCCCAGGGATGCCATCACCTTCTTTGAGATTGGGTCTCACACTGGTCTCATCAGCCGGGCTTGGCTGGATGGTAATTTTATCTGATGAGACAAATCATCTGGATTTACTGCTTCCGGGAAAGACATATCCCCTTCAACGCTCACCCTGAGATTATTGTCTTTACCGTGAAAACTGGGTTCAAAGACGTATCCTGAATCTGACAGGGGTCCCTCATGCCTATACCTCGAGTATTCAGGAAACTCAAACAGGAGAACTGTTATGAGTCTGAGCCAAGCTGAACTCCATAGTAATTTCTAGGGTAGCCTGCATTACAATCTGAGACTGTTTCAAAACAGACAGACCCTGGAAGCTTATTAACTAAAACTATATGCAAAATGCAGGCCTTTGAAGCTCAGTTGTGAGGGGAAGGGGAGGGGTGAGTAGATGCTTTTGTTTGCCCTGGACCACCCGACATGGCTCCTGAACTGGACGCGGTCCTCTAGAACAGCAGGAAGCTCTCTTTATTACTGACCACCTGCTCAGTCCTGCTGATAACAGTTTCACAGTGGCTGCTTTCTGCTTGGCTCTGCGCTGTAAGCCGTCTTTAGATGGCAGAGTACTAGACATATTTTTAGGAGAACCTTTAGAAGTTTTCTTTTGAAGCTTCAGAAGTGATTGGCTAAGCAAATCTGAAATAATGAGGAGGAAGCCAGGGGTGAATATCATTTATGAAATGCTCACGGTCTGCATGAGACAATGCCCTAGAAATGATGTCACAGAGGGGTGCTGTTGTGAGCCTGGGGTGCAGGATGTGCAGGTTCCAGGAGGAAGTCACATTGGACTGGACTGGGAATTAGGAAGCATGCCTGTCATCTCAGCTCTTGGGTGGCTAAGGCAGGAGAACAGTCAGGCCAGGGTAGCCTGGGGTACCTAATAAGGCCAGGGTAGCCTGGGGTACCTAATAAGGCCCTGTTGGAAAAATGAAAGCTAGGCTTGGCGGCATATGTCTCTGATTCCAGCCCTACAGAGGCAGGGAAGGCAGATTTCTGTGAGTTCCAGGTTATCCAGGGCTACATAGTGATAGCCTGTCTCAAAAGAAGGAAAGTGGGAGGCTGGAGAGATGGACCAGTGGTTAAGAACACTCGATGCTCTTACAGACAGCTCTGGTTCCCAGCATCTATACTCTAGGTCCAGGGATCCAGTGCCCTCTTCTAGCCTCTACAGGATGCAATACATTTACATGTATGCAGACAAAACACTCATACACATAAATTAAATATAGGTCTTTATTTATAATGACAAAAAGAAAATGAGAGCTGGGATGTAGTTCACAGAGTGTTTGTTTGGCAGTCACAAAACCCTGGGCTCAGTCCCCATCAATGCATTAAGCTGGGCATGGTGGTGAACGGCTGCAACACTAGCACTCAGGAGGTGGAGGCAGAACGATCAAGAGTTCAAGCCCCGAGGCTGAAGATACAGCTCCATGACAGAGGACTTTCTAGCACAGGCGAACGTCCTGATTGGAGAGAGGGTCCTCATATCTGTAATCTCAGCATTCGGGAGGTTTGGGGCCAACCTGAGCTACAATAGTGAGTTCCCAGACAGTTTGAGCTACCTAATAAGACATTATCTCAACAGAAGAGGAGAAAGGGGAAAATGTAAAGAAGAAAGGTGTTCAAGGCCAGAAAAAGCGAAGTACAAACAGTACCAAGGGACTTGGGAGGATCTGAAGGTGGCAGGGAGGACTGTAGGGGCAGTAGCAGAGGAAACACAGAATGGATAGGGCGTGGAGAAGAGCCTGTTTTCTACTCTGCCTGGGAAAGACAGGAGAGGTTGGCGGAGAGCGTGCAACCGTTGGGGGAAAGTCACAGAGAGCCTTGAACGCAGAAGAGCAGTTTAATTTCCATTTCTTATACATGCTTCTCATTTTCTCAACTGTGTATATATACTCACATGTGTAGACGGAGACTGCTCATTCATTTCCAGGCCACCTGGAATATGTGAATAACACAGAAGCGACATTAATTACAACACTGTTTGACCAATAATTTATGCATATTTCTAGCTAACACTTACATCTTAAATTAACCAATTTCTATTAATCTGTGAATAACCATGAAGTTGTGGCCTACTGGTAAGGTTCTGCCTGGAAGAATCCTTCTCCAGCAGCTCCATAGTGTCTTTTTGACTCTGCCTACTTTCTCTCTATAGCTCTGTTTGGATTCCTGCCTGGCTTTACTCTACCAAGCCATTGATCAAAATAGCTCCTTTAATAACCAATGATAATAAAACATATTCATAGCTTACAAAGGGGACTCCCACATCACACATGCACCTATATGAGCTAGAGGTAGATGGTCGATGTCTTCTTTGATTGCTGTTCTAGTTTTACTTCTTTGCTATGATAAACTGTCCCAACCAAAAACAACATAGAGGAGGAAAGGGTTTATTTGGTTTGTCATTTTTAGGTCTCAGTCCGTCATTTTAGGAAAGTCAAGACAGGAACTGCGGTGGCCAGTCACATTAGTTCCACTGTCAGAGTAGAGAGAATCAACTGCTTCCATGTCACCTTCGTGCCTAGGTTGTTCATGTTTGACTGGCTTTCTCATATAGTCCAGGACTACCTGCCTAAGGAATGGTGCTATCCACAATAAGTTGGGTCTTCCCACATCAACTAACAGTGAAGACAACCCCCTGCAGACAACTTGACCTAGATAGTTCCTCAGTTGAGGCTCTCCCCTTAAATGTTTTTAGATCATGATATGTTGACAATTACAACTAACCAGCACAATTGATTTCTACCATTTAATTTTTTGAGACAGGATCACACACAAATGACATTGAACTCACAGAGGTCTGTCTGCTTCTGCTACCCAAGTAATAGTATTAAAGGTGTGTACCACCATGACTGACTAATTTTGAGACAGGCTCTCTCACTGAACCTACAATTCTCTGTTTTTTTCTGGGCTAACTGGTCAACAAGCTCCAAAAATCCTTTTGTCTCTTCTCCCTGAGCACTGAGTGTTCTCTCTCTCTCTCTCTCTCTCTCTCTCTCTCTCTCGTTTCCTGCCTACGTACCTATTTCTATCCCTCTACTGTACCTGGCTTTGCCTCCGGGTACTGGGTGTCCAAATGCAGGTTTACATACTTCCATAGCAACCACTTTACCAATGGGGTTATCGCCCCTGCTTCACATATCCCTCCTAAATCTGTGCCCTATCTTCTATTCCAGTTCAAACTCCATTATCTTCTCCTTCAGTGCAGACCCAAAGTGACCTTCTTAACAACCATACCTAGTTCCCCAACAGTCTTAAAACCATTCCATGAATTTTGAGACAAACTTGTATACTAGAGAGAATCTAATCTTCTATATCTTAAAGGAGAGAGAAGACAGGAGAAACAATTAGAAAAGAAGGAAGAAGATATGTTAGGCTCACAGAGAGTCATGGTAAATATGCCTGTCCTCAAATTTCACAGCGTCTGTTGCCAAGAAGCACCCAGTTGACAAGATAAAGAACTCTTAAATACGGTCATGGAGATAAATGCCCCGATAAATAGTGACGTTATCTCTGCCCCAACTGCCTGCCTCTGTGGCTGCCCTTGTTCTTACCCAGCCCAAATCATGCTCTACAGGACATTTATTTCGAGGCCAGAGAAAGCAACAGGAGCCATCCTTGTGTTTTGTTCCTGGGATGCTGTGGAGGATCTTAGCCCTACCTCTGTTGTGTTTAGGTAAGTAACACAAGTGTGAGACCTGGGGCAATGGAAGAGGAAGGGAAAAGAAACAGCAAAATAACTGTTTGCTATGAGCTACAGCTAAGTTACAGGCCACATGGCTCTTACAGAAGACCATATGACTCTGTCTCTGTATGACCTCCCCCAGGAGACCATCTGTATTCACTGGGTATGGAGACACAAACACATCAGAGAATTGATTCACTAGAGTTTAGTTTGGGAACCCAGTGTCTTTGTTGGGATTGCTTGCAGGAGACAGGTGATGTGGAGACAAGCTGTATCACTAAAAAGCACATCTGTCCCCATACTCCAAGCATGGTGGGTGCTCACAGAAGCTTCATTCCTGGATCTCTTTGCACAGTTTGTAGACATCTTCATTAAAGAGGTTCCTGTCTCCCAGAAATTCCTTATTGTTTATATAACCTCACAGAAGAACCTCATGAATCCTGAAAATGTAATGACGCTCCTAAGCCCTCCTTCTTTCTCTAGGAAGTAATTTTTTTATCTGGAGGAAGAAGCTACACAAAAGTAATTTTTCTTTAATTCCTACTTCAATGCAACATTGGTACTGTTGAACCCATTTTTTTCAGTAGCTCAGGAATGATGCAGGGTGATGAGGTAATGAAATACAGTTCATACTAACAAGGACAACGACAAAACCAAAAGCTGGGTTGGGTGGTACTGACTGAAAGAATTCTATTGCAATGGACAGGGGTTGCTGCAGAGACTTAGAGCTAGTCAAAGTGTGAAGAATGAGAGACCGTGAACAATGAGCTGTGGGGGAACACACCTTTGATCCCAGCGCTTGGGGGAAAAGGCATGTAGATCTCTGTGAGTTTGAGGCCAGCCTGATCTACACAAAGAGTTTCAGGATAGCCAGGATTATACAGAGAAACCCTGTCAGAGAGGTGGGAGAGGGAAGATGTAAGGAAGGGAGAGAGAGAGAAAGAGAGAGAGAAAGAGAGAGATAGAATGTGGCCCTGGAGCTGGACGGTTTAGCACTTAAGAATGTGCTCTTGCAGGGGATGTGGGTTCAGTTCCCAGAACCCATGTCAGGTGGCTCACAACCACCCATGACTCCAGCTCCAGGACACTGGGCACTTCTGGCAGCTCTCAGTTACCAAACACATGTGCATATACCCACACAGAGATACATACATACACATAGTTAAAAATAATATCTTGAAAAAAGTAAATTGTTGTTAAAAGGGAGAGACTGAGTATTCTTCTGGAAAGGGAACTTTGATATCAACTTTGCAATGTTCAGTGAACATTCTGGAAGAAGGGGCAGAAGAACTTCAAGAGATCGAGAATGGAGAAGAATGCTAGGAGATGCTGTCTTCTAGACAATACTTGGCTGTTGCCTTCATGAACTCGTAGTAGGTATGGGTACCAGCACAAGACCAAGCCAGTCACATATCTAAACAAGGAAGGTGGAGGAGCTACTGAGGTCATGTCTCTGAGGAGCTAGCGACAGCTGATGGCTGCTGGAGGAGTCTCTTTTCTTTGTGAGGTGGCTACTGGTAGGCTCCCCATGCTGCACTGAATGACCCCATCCCATTAAATATGGGCAGCAAAAACTGGACTCGGTGGTTTAAAATAAATACACAGGCAGACTTGAAGTTGGGAGGGAGGAGGTGTTGGGCGTATCCTGGAGGGGAACTGGAGCAGGGCTTGGGGTGCATACGATCAAGCTACATTGTATACAAGTATGAAATTTTACGGAATAAATAAAATAGTATTTTTTAAAACAATTTAATGGAATTGGGTATGAAAATGTGGCTCAGTTAATGAGGTATTTGCCTAACATGCTCAAAACCCCGGGTTTGGTTCCCTGACTTACATAAAACTGTATGTGGTGGTGCATGTCATAATCTCAGTACCTAGGGAGTGGCTATAATCAGTTTGAAGCCAATCTAGGCTAGAAATTTTGTTAGTGAGAGCTTCTCTTCCATCCCTCAGTTCCTGAATAACCACCCAGAAGTTTAATATTAATTACAAATTGTTTGGCCTATTAGCTCAGGCTTATTATTAACTAGCTCTTACAACATAAATGAACCCATTTCTATTATTCTATATTTTACCATGAGGCTTGTGGCTTGTTACCTCACATCTTGCTTTTCACACAGCTGTTGATATCTCCCAAACTCTGCCTTCTTTTTTTTCTTTATCTTTATTTGTATTTCCTAGCTATAAGGAAGCTTTTTTAGTAATCAATGGTAGTAAAACATACTTACATCATACAAAGGGAGATTTCACATCATCTTCCCTTTCCTGTCTAATTAAAAATAAAGGTTTTAACATAATAAAATTACATTTATAAGAGGAATCAAGCAAGAATTACAATTAAATATTTAGTCTATTTGTGTTTGACAAAATTAAATACTCTATTATCTATCTTTGTGACTTTAAAGTTTTATATCTAATTTATCTTTTGTTGTAACTAAGGAAAAATGTAGTTATAACTGTCTAGTCTTCAACTCCATCAAAGACCGCAGAATGATAAAATATTACCTGAGTAACCAGGAAGTGTATTGTAAGTAACTTCCAAAACTCTAGAAATGACAGAGATATCTATCCTGGATAGTCACTTAAAGTTCTTATGTAGCATTGGGGCATCCATCTTCAGCCTACAGACCTAGAGTGTCTGGTAGATTTCTCAGTGAAGCAGGACACTTGAAGGGTTGTCCTGCCTATTTTAGCAAAATTTGTCAGTCTGTGAATTTTTCTCCTATGTTTTACAGAATGTCTGGCAGAGTCTTGCACAAAGCAGGAACCCTGAAGGACTGTCTCATGTAAACAGAGACTGTTCTTTTGCTCCTGGATGCCCAGACCCAAATAATTACACAGAAACTATATTAATTACAACACTGTTGTGCCAATGCCTTAGGCATCTTTCTAACTAGCTCTTATATCTTAAATTAAGCCATTTCTTTTAATCTATGTATTTCCACAAGGTTGTGGCTTACCATCAAGGTTCCAGCCTGGCATCTTTCTCCTTGAACAGCGTCATGGTATCTCCTTGACTCTGCCTACTCTCTCGTTCTCTCTCTCTCTCTCTCTCTCTCTCTCTCTCTCTCTCTCTCTATATATATATATATATATATATATATATATATATATATATATATATATATTGTATCTGTAATCATTTTCTGACCAGGAATTTCTTTTTAAATGCTAAGAAAGGATGACTAGGACCAGTTCTACAGCCCTGCTTGTTGGCTCTGCCCCATCCAACATGCTGAACCACCTCTGTGAACCATGCTCACTGCCCCAGCTCCAGGGACACAGTGGGTCTAAGTCACCATTAAGAAACTAGTGGCATGCTGCTCGCAAACCCCATTTAAGTGCAGAACCTCCCAAAAGAACCAGAGTTTGTGCTGCTAGCATGAACCAGGAAGCCATGCAGTTTAAAGAAGTCATGCAGTTTTTGTTGCTGATGCTGAGTCAGGAAGCCTTCTCTTAAAAGGAGCTGTGTCTCTACTTGCTGCCAGCAAACAGAGCCTATCTGAGAAAATGCAGCCAGCAAAAGTCTGCCCTAGGCTCCCATTTTTGTGGGTCTAGAAACCCTCTTTTTTTCTCAAGGTTTTTTTAGGTCTTATGTGGATCCATGCCTCAGACGGTGGGCACCATTTTGTGAATGGAGACTGCTCTTTTGTTTTTGGCCACCCAGACCCAAATAACCACACAGAAACTATATTAATTACAACACTGTTTGGCCAATGGCTTAAGCATCTTTCTAGCTAGATCTTATATCTTAAATTAACCAATTTCTTTTCAACTATGTATTGCCATGAGGCTGTGGCTTACTGGTAAGGTCTGGCCTGACATCTTTCTCCTTCAGCAGCTACATGGCATCTCCTCGACTCTGTCTTCTCTCTTGCAGCCTGACTATATTCTGCCCTGCCATAAGCCAAAGTGGCTTTATTCATTAGCCAATGAAAGCAATGCATATACAGAAGGACATTCCACATCAGTCTCACCTTGTTTTGGTGAGTTCAGCTGTCATTTCTCTATGGTCCTGCATATCCAGTTTATATAACATACTGTCAAGCAGCCCAGGCAAGAGTAGTAGTTTCTTGCCCAAATGTCTAGCCTTGCTACATTGAAAGCAAACTAGATGAGGAGCTTCTTCAGTGCCCATCATCCTCTTGAAGTATTGGTGCTGCCAAGAACAGATGTCTCTCACTATTGAGAGAAGTATATGTTTTTATAACATTTTTAAAGCCATATTATGTAGGTCTTTGAAGTGTTTGAAGATTACCCATTCATCTAAAATATACCTCTGCATATCCAGAAAACCTAACATTGTGTTTGACTATTATAGATAACTATTAATTTGTATTTTTAACTATATGTTACATTTAAAATGAGCTGCATAAACATAACACCATTAACAAGAGTAGAAATATACATATAGCATAACAAAATTGACCATAAATTTGTACCAGTAAACCAAAATCCTTTAAGCAAGAATAGAAACATATAAACAGTGTAACAAAATTAACTTTAAATTTGTATCACTATACCAAAATCCATGTCAATGAAAAAATCTGAGATTAATAGTTGTCTTTTTATTCTATATTCCTATATTCACCTAAATATAACAAACATCCATAACCTACCAAATAACTAAAGACCATTTATAAATGCCAAAACTCTTGGGAATGTGGACATCATTTTCTCTAAACTGCTTCCTGCTGTCTGTAGGTGAAATAACTTTAGGGTGCTTGATAAAATTTTGAGGTGATGACTGAGTCCTGGGAGGACTAGTGGTAACCTGTCAAGTTTCAGGATGTCTCTCTTGATCAAAGCTGGTCCATATTAACCTGAAGTGAATCCAAAACCTCTATTTCTTATGGAAACAAAAGCAAAACTGCTTCTCCAAAGCAGTATATCTTTTAAGTTCTATTTTACAAATATATTTTTTGACTTCTGTTTTAAAGATAAGGCATTTATAAATATTTAGGTTTGTATATTTTATCAGTCTCTCTTTCAGTCCCATATCTCTCAGCAGCTGTCTCTTTTCCATCAGCCAGCAAAAAAATTCAAAATCACCACAATACTATACATGATCCAGACTCCCTGTGTATTTTTCATCATTATGTGACTTTTTAATATTATTTTTACTGTCTCTTTAAAGACTTCGTTTTACTTTTTTAAAATATTTTTTAAATCAGTGTCTCTTCTCTCTCTCTCTCTCTCTCTCTCTCTCTCTCAAGCCTACGTACAATTTTTAGACACATTGTGACCTATTTATTCTGAATCTGCCTTTATTGCATATCTGTTGTCATTTGTGATCACTGTTTTAAACTGTTAAGTGGGTATGGCTAGGGCCAGAGCAGCTGCCTTGGCTGTTGATTCCATTCTGCTCGGCTTTTCAACATGGCAGAGGATCCAATGAGCATCATGCTCACCAGTCCCCCCACCCCAGTGCTGCCATCAGGCAGTGAGCAACCAATCTACACACTTTTTTTGTGTCTATGAACAAAAGTTAAATCCTCCACACAGTGCAGGATGATTAGCCTGTCTCCACTGAGGCCTGTGTGAGATGACGGAAACCCACCATGCCACTGTGCTTATGACAGCTGGTGGCCAGCTCCATCTTGCAGGCAGCTATTGGAAGACGCTGCATCTCTGTGCTGCTGCTGACATGAGACTGTCAGACCTGGAAGCCCAATGTGGCTCCATTTCTATGATTTCAGAACCTTTTTAAAAGTTTTCTCAGGCCCTATGGAAGTTTGAGAGGCCCACATTGCTATGCCATTTGGGAAGTTTCTGTCTCATCCACCAGTTCCTGAAAAACCATTCAGAGGCTAAATATTAATTAGAAATTGCTTCACTTATTACCTCAGGCTTATTATTAACTACCTCTTACAATTTAAATGAACCCATTTCTATACCATATGGTATTGGCATAAAAACAGCAGGTGGGTCAATGGAATAGAATCGAAGACCCAGAAGTGTTGACTGAGTTTTCTGTCCTGCCCAGTTTCCACAGTCGTTAAGTCCCAAAGAAATCACACAGAGGTCTACATTAGTTATAAACGGATTGGCCCATTAACTCAGGCTTCTTAGTAACTCTTATAGCTTATATTAGCCCATTATTCTTGTCTTTGTTAGTCATGTGACTTGGTACCTTACTCGGCGAGGCAGTCACATCTTGCTTCTTCTGTGGCTGGGTCACTACTTCAGACTAGGACTTCCTTCTTCCCAGAATTCTCCTGTTCTCATTGACCTGCCTCTACTTCCTGTTTTGTTGTCCCATTTATACTTCCTGCCTTCTCAAGTAATATTATCTTCCTTCTCAAGCCTTTGATGGGGTTAAAGATTAGATAGTCACAGTTACTGTACTCTTATGATCTAGCCAAGCCATTTCCTATACAAGACTTAGACTCCATAGGACAGAACGTTTATTAAAACAGCTAGCATATGTTCCTTGCTGAATATTGTTTATGCTCGCTGTAATTCTAATTATACTTGATATCTGTTCATGTGTATATAGTTTTGTATTGGGTTTGGAACTCTCTTATTTAAACCAAATGGGGAGGTGCTGTGGGAGCACATTTTGCTCCTTCAGTCAATAGCCTTTAAGATTCCAACCCACTCGGTCATGGTCTCTTAAACTGTAAAAAGCAGAGGTAACTGTGTGCCCACTCTCTTGCTTCTGGTTCCCACTTCCAGCTGCTAGACTCTATTCCTGTTCACTCAGAGGACTGCTGTCTAGGACAGTGATCTGTAAGTTTTCCCATTAAATAAATAACCCTTTTATTATTCATAATTCTGCACTGGTGTGGGATTATTTGGGTGACTTATGGTCTTTACAGATCTATGGACCCTTGATTTTTGACAGAGAAGACAAAATTGTACAATGTAAAGAAGAAAGCATCTTCAACAAACGGTGCTGGTCTAACCAGATGTCTGCATGTAGAAGAATTCAAATATATCCATATCCATCATCTGCACAAAACTCAAGTCCAAGTGAATCAAAGATCTAATCAATCCAATCACACTGAACCTGCTATTAGAGAACTTGGGAAATAGACTTGAACACACTGGCACAGGAGACAGCTTCCTGAACAGGAAGCCAATAGCACTGATGCCAAGATCAAAAATTAATAACTGGGACCTCATGAAAATGAAGTTTCTTTAAGACAAAGGACACTGTCAACAAGACAAAACAGCAGTCTGCAGAATGGGAAAAGATCTTCATCAATCTCACATTTGACAGAGGGCTGATATCCAAAACACACACACAAACACACAACTGAAGAAACTAGACATCAACAAAGCAAATAATTCAATTAAAAACAGGGTACAGATCTAAACAGGGAATTCTCAACAGAAGAATCTCCGATGGCTAAGAAGCTCTTAAATGTTCGATAGCCTTAGCCACTGGGAAACACAAATCAAAACTACTTTGAGATTTCATGTTACACCTGTCAGAATGGCAAAGCTCACAAACACAAGTGATAGCTCATTCTGGAGAGGATATGGAACAAGGGGAACACTCCTTCACTGCTGGTGGGTATGCAAACTTCTACATCCACTACGGAAATCAATACGGCAGTTCCTTAGAAAGTTGGGAATTGATCTACTTCAAGACCCAGCTATGTCACTCCTGGACATATACCCAAATATATGGTATTTATATACTCCATATATTTATATACTCCATATATTTATATACTCCATATATTTGTGATGTTCCACCACATGATAAGGACATTTGCTCAACTGTGTTTTTAGCAGCTTTATTTGTCATAGCCAGAAACTGGAAATAATCTAGATGTGCCTCAACTGAAGAACAGATAAAGAAAGTGTGGTCCATTTACACAATGAGTACTGCTCAGCTGGTAAAAACAAGGACACCAGGAAATTTGAAGGCAAATGGATGGAGTTATAATAGACCATCTGAGTGAGGTAACCCAGGCAGAAAGACAACCATGCAGTAGAATCAAAGCCCAGTGCCATTGTCCTTGGTTTCTCAGTCAGCCTTCACCATCAGCCATATTCAGAGAGTCCGGTTTGATCACATGCTCCATTAGTCCCATTCCAACTGGCCTTGGTGATCTCCCATTAGATCAGTCCCACCGTCTCAGTGGGTGAACACACCCCTCGCAGTCCTGACTTCCTTGCTCATGTTCTCCCTTCTTCTGCTCCTCATTAGGACCTTGGGAGCTCAATCCAGTGTTCCAATGTGGGTCTCTGTCTCTACCTCCATCCATCACCAGATGAAGGTTCTATGGTAATATACAAGATATTCATCAGTGTGGCTATAGGGCAAGGCCAGTTCAGGCACCCTCTCCTCTGCTGCTCAAGGAACAAGCTGGGACATCTCCTTGGACACCTGGGAACCCCTCTAGAGTCAAGTCTCTTGCCAACCCTAAAATGGCTCCCTTAATTAAGATATATACTTCCCTGCTCCCACATCCACCCCTCCTTCATCCCAACCATCCCATCCCCATCCTCCCCTTCTCCCTTCTCTCCCACCATCTCCCCTTATCCCCACCTCACCCCCACCCCCGTGCTCCCAACCCCTGCCCGGCAATTTTGTCAACTTCCAATATCCAGAAGGATAACTATATGTTTTTCTTTAGGTTCACCTTTTTATTTATCTTCTCTAGGATCACGAATTATGGGCTCAATGTTCTTTATTTATGGCTAGACTCCACTTAAGAGTGAGTACATACCATATTCCTCTTTTTGGGTCTGGGTTACCTCACTCAGTAAAGTGTTTTCTATTTCCATCAATTTGCATGCAAAATTCAAGATGTCATTGTTTTTTACCGCTGAATAGAACTCTGAAGTGTATATGTGCCACAACTTCTTTAACCATTCTTCTATTGAGGGGCACCTAGGTTGTTTCCAGGTTCTGGCTATTACAAATCGTGATGCTATGAACATAGTTGAACAAATGCTTTTGTAGTATGATTGGGCATCTCTTACTTGTAAATGAATATTAGCTGTAAAATAGAGGATAACCATGCTACAATTCATAGACTCATGGAAGCTAAGAAACAAGGAGGCCTCGAGGAAGGATGTTTGAATCTCCCTGGGAAGAGAAAATTGAAAATAGAGTAGATTTTGAGAGTATACTTAGGGTGTGTGGGGATGGGAAGAGGAGGGACCAGGTAGGGGGAGGGTGGAAGGAGAGACAACTGGAATCTGGGGGATATCGCTGAGATGAGCTAGAAACGCAGTTCAGTGGGAACTCCCAGAAATCTATGAGGGAGACCCCAGCAAAGACTCATAGCAATGAGGAATACAAAGCCTGAACCGGCCATCTCCTGTAACCAGGCAAGACTTCCAGTGGAGGGACTGGGACATCAGCCCAGCCATACAACCTTCGAACCCAGACGTCAAATAACCCAGAGACCTAGGACAGAACCCAACATGCCCGACAAAAATGGCAATGTAATGATACCTAATAATATTCTGTTATTCTCAAAGACTGGTGCCTAGCCCACTGCTATCAGGGAGGCTTCACCCAGAAACTGGTGGGAACATTAGGTGAAGTTCCGGGAATTCTGTGGGAGAGTAGGAGGAAGGAGTGTGGAGCCAGAGGGGTCAAGGATACCATGCAAAAATCCACAGAATCAACTAACCTGGGCTCATAGGAACTCACAGAGACTGAACTGCCAACCAGGGAACCTACGTGGGGCTGACTTAGGCCCTCGGCACATGTGTTACATGTGGGAACCTAACAGTGAGAGTAGGGGCTGGCTCTGACTCTGTTGCCCCACCATAAATCACATGACTCAGGCTATCTGATGTGACCAATGCTGCATATTAATAAAGACTTACCAAGAAGGACTTTTCAGAGATGGGAAAATGTCAAGCCTGTTGTGAGTGACATAACCCTCTCATTGACAGGCAGAACTCTGAAAACTTGAAGTGGAACTGGTTTCCATTTTAGATCTCTCCCCACAGGGTCATTTCCTCCAGTTTTGTTTGATATGAAGACAGCAGCAGTGGAAGACGATCTATGCAGTACAGTCCCTTGTGTGTTTGAATTTTCTAAGGCATCTCTAAGAAATCCCACGACTATGAGCTACAGGCTTAATGAGACCATCAGCTTCCGTATAGATACCAGTCAGCCCAGAGCCCCTGTAGGTGGTCTCTCCACAGAGGAAGTAGAAGACTGCATCCTGCTGACCCGTGATGTGATCAGAAGGGAAAACATGACCTACTTGCTCTATGAGGATCTGAGAGAGGACATGGGACTCTTCATGTCAGGTGATGCTCAGGCTTGAATACTAAGTGGTTTAGGAAGTAGGAAGTCCAGAGGGAGTGGTAAACCGGTGGCTGTTACTTCATCAGGCACTGAATGTTATACTACTTGAGGTGTTCTCTCTCTCTCTCTCTCTCTCTCTCTCTCTCTCTCTCTCTCACACACACACACACACACACACACACACAGAGAGAGAGAGAGAGAGAGAGAGAGAGAGAGAGAGAGAACAGCACAAAGAAGTCAGTTAGAAAAAAGTTGGGGGCTGATAAGGCAGGTCAATGGATAAAGGCACTTGCCCAAGCTTGAAGACCTGCGTTCCATCCCTGTGGCCCACATGGTAGAAATGACTCACGCAAAATGTCTTCTGACCTCGACATGCATGCCTGGCCACACATAAACTAATTAGTGTAAAAATTACAAAACCTTAGGTGTTTGATTTCCAAAGTAATATAATGTTTTACATATAACATCTCTCTAAATGGAAATTTCAAAGATAGAGCAGGCATAGTGGCTTGTGTGTGTGATCTCAGTGCTTGAGAATGTCAGTCGGGGGCTGCAGAGTGAGTTCCAGGCTTACCCACATAAAGCCAGGCATGGTAGCACACATCTGTAATCGCATCATTCTCAAGGCAAGATGAAAGGCAAAGGCATCAGGATCCTGGGAAGCTGAGGGTCAGCTAACCTGGCATTCACAGCAGAGAACAAGAAACCGTGCTGAGCAAGGTGGAAGGCAAGAACTGATACCTGATTTTTTTCTATAACTTCCACACATACACGTTGGCACGCATATATGTTGTGTCTGTATGAGCATATATGTTCACTTGTATGAGCATGCACACACACACATGGACTTAGAAAGATTATTTTCATTTTAAAAGAGGAGGGAAATGACCACAGATAGGTTTGGGGAGTGGTGGGTGGTAATGAGGCTGAGTAGGCTCTCACAGTGGGAGGTCTACTCTGAGGATGAGAGGAGCCACGGGCACTGTAGATCAAGAAACTCATCCACCATCAGTGTTTATCCAGACTTCAGGGTATGAGATGACCCAGAGGGTAAAGACGCTTCCCACCAAGACTGACGACCTGAGCTCAACCCCTGGGAACCAAATGCTGGAAGAAAGGCCAACTCCCACAAATTGTCCTTGATTCTCTGTGTTCAGGCCATAGTATGCATGCACACACACTAGAGAAATGAATAAATCTATTTTTAAGTTTTATCATATTCATTTGTATGTGTCTGGGGGGTAAGGGTGTTTGCACACTTAGTTGGTGGCGTTTTTTTTTTTCGCCAATTTGATACAAGTTAGAGTCATTTGGGAAAATTTGACACAAGCTAGAGTCAATTGAGAAAATGCCTATAGTCAATTCCATAAGGCATTCTCGTGATTAATAACTGGTATGAGATGATTAAACCCACTTTGGGTGATAATACCCCAAGACAAGTGGTCCTGGGCTGTATAAAATGCAGACTGAGCCAGCCCAGAAGCAGAGGTCCTCCCTCCAGGCTCCTGCTTGTGTTCCCATCGTGATGCCCTCAGTGTGGAATGTGACATGGGAGAGTAAGATGAAATACACCTTTCCTTTCCAAGTTGGGGTTGGTCGCGTCTTTGTCACAGCAATGGAAAACCAACCAGCACAGTGCGTGCATGCATGCTTGCCACACGGTGTGTGTAGAAGTTACAGCTTGTGAGAGTCTGTTCTTTCTTCCACAATGAATGAGTCCAAGGGATGAACTCAGGTAACTGGAGCAGGTGGCAACTGCCTTTATCTGCTTAGCCATATTTCCAGCCCCGAATAATGTAATTTTAATCCTTTTAAAAATCCAGACTTGGATTCAAGGGTTTCCCCCTTACTAACTCCTTCATCTTGTTCATATGGTGGAGTTGGGTGGGCTTCCTGATAGAGAACAGAAATTGGCAAAACAAAACAAAAAAAACCCCACAGGATCAAGGCAATCCCAGGTTCTGTGAGGCTGTTGGGAGAAGTTTGAGGGTTCCAATTGGAAATGCTGTACAGTGACCTGCCCCTAAAGTATGAATCTAAATGCACTTTTTTTAAAAAAAAAATTTCCTCTAGACCTGACCCAAAAGCCAGAGATTCACATCCCAGAAAGTGGTGTGGGTAGAGAGCCTGCAACTTTGATCTGTACCATCGAAGACACCTGCCAGGGGCTGTGGAAGGGGCCTGCCATGTCTTCCAACACGATTGTCTCCATCCGCTCCTCTTCAGAACTGTCCAGTGCCCCAAAGCCTGAGGACCGGGGCACCACCCTCAGATGCCACTTAAGTCTGTCCTTAGTCAACCTGACCAGCAGTAAAGAAGTCAAGCTAAAACTGGTCTGTGAGTACTGGTGGGCACTGCCAGGGTCGACAGGTGGGGAAGTGGTCAGCCCCAGGGCAAGACCCGGGTCCTGGAGGGGAGCAGTCGGACCCCTCTGGGGCTGAGAGACCACACGCAAGAGTGAAGTCTGAGTTTGGTATCGATGATGAGAGAAGATGAGTCTCAACTGCCCGTGCTCAGGCTTCTAGAATGTCTCTGGAGTTCCGGGGACCACACATGAGAAGTTTGGAGGCTACCGAGATGGTTTAAAGGTTGAGAGAGTTCAGTCCTTGGATCAGTCACCTTCCTGCTGCTGTGATAGCATGCCATGATCAAGGAAACTTATCCCAGAAAGAGTCTGTTTATTACGGTTCCCGAGGGACAGAGCCATTGTGGCAGAGAGCATGGCAGCTGGCACGGTGTCTGGAAGCCGATGCTGAGAGCTCACATCTTTTACCATGAACAGGAAGCAGAGCACAAACAGGAAATGACCCACCCAGTGACATACCTCCTCTAACTAGGCCACACCTCCTAAACCTTCTCAGCACCACCAACTGGGGACCAGGTGTTCAAATACATGAGCCTCTGGGAAGCATTCTCATCCACGCCACATTTCTTTTGCAGGGGAACTCAGTTCAGTTCTCCCCAGCACCCATGCTGGGCAGCCCAAACCACCTGTAACTCTAGCAGCAGGGAATCCCGCGCCCTCTTCTGGCCTCTGCGGGCACTGCACTCACATGCACATGCACATGCACAGACACACATATGCACGTAATTAAAAATAAATTTTGGCTTTGGAGAAAGTGAAGGAAAGTGTGGACGTCTCTCTGACCCCTGCCCCTTCTCCACAGCGCCTGCTAGGCTGCTCAACTTCTCGTGTTTCCTGAAGAGGAGACTAACATGCAGCTGTTCCTTCCATGGGATCCCGACACCCTCTGTGCAGTGGTGGCTTGGAGGAACCCCTGTGAGTATGAATAGCATCGATACTATCCTGCACATGACCTCCACCACACTGGAACCCTGGGCCAACACCACCATCCACCTCATGTGGGAACCAGAAGTCATTAGGAGACTGCGCTGTGAGGGGAAGAACCAATATGGAGTCCATGCTTCCAGGATCTTCCTGATACCAGGTAAGAGGGTAGAGGTCTAGTGACTGGACTGGGGGACCAACACGAGGGCCAGGATGATACCAAACGGAGAACAGAAGGAAGAGAGTCATCGTTTGAAAGCCTCAGGACAACCTCACTCTCTTCCCTCTCATTTCAGATAAAAGCTCCCTTTCCAGTGTCTTCATGAGAGGGCTAATCCAGGGCGTCGTGTATGGGGCCATAGCGTCTTCTTTACTCTTCTTCTTCCTTGTTGTCCTGATGTGAGTATCAGAGCTCAAATTCAACACCAAACCCATCCCAGAGCCCACCACATGCACTTATTCTTTATTTGTAAAATTGTGTTTATTCTTTCATTCGTGTGTGTGTGTGTGTGTGTGTGTGTGTGTGCACATACGCGTGCACACACACGTGTCCACGCATGTGCCATGCATGGTGTATGAGTTGAGGTCAGAGGACAATGTCTAGGAGTTGGTCCTTTCACTTCACCATGTAGGTCAGTCTGGGTTTCAGGTTCCTTTATCCACGGAGCCATCTCACTAGACTTATGATGTTCATTTCTTTCATCACATTTTCTCCCAGTTTGGTTTCTGTTGAAACAGACTCATTGTTAAGTCCCAGTCATCTTTCTTGGTATTTAAAGCTATCCACTTCCCTTTAAGCATAAATTTAGTTTCATCTCACAGATGTGGATATGAACTATGTTATTATCACTTAACTGAAACATTCCAATTTCCAGTGTGATTTTTAGCCTAGTAGAAATGTCAATGCTTTCTAGCAAATTTCCCCCACACTTTCTTTCAGTACTGACAATTGAATATAAGTCTTTGAACATGACAGACAATTGTCCTACCATTGAATCTACCCAGGTCCCTCACTGGGGGATTCTAGGTAGGCACTGTACCACTGTGTTCCATCCCCAGCCCTCTTTACACTTTTATTTTAAGACAGAATCCCAATCCAGGGATCTTGGGCTTCCTCGCCTTCCCAGTAGTTGGTATTAAAGGTCTGTACCACCAGGACCAATTGATCCTCTTTGTAGCTTAAATTAAATAGGATCATAAAGTAGACTATGCATAATAGCAATTTGTTTTCCTTGCAGCAAATTTTTGTTTATTTTTAATAAACAATCTATATGGGCTTAAAGAAAATGTGCATTTTACACCTGTAAATGAAGTCATGATACACACTTCTTTTAAGTCAACTTCGTTCATGGCAGGGTTGGGAAGATGGCTTCGTGAACAAAAGTGCTTGTCCCCATCCCTGACGATCCGACCCCCAGGGTTTAATGGTGGAAGGAGAGAATCAGCTCCTGCAAGTTGTCCTCTGACCACCACACTCATGTTTACACACACACACACAGAAAATGAAGAAAATGTAAATTCATTGTGTGCCCAAGGTCTGCTCCGACTCAACCATCTGAAGCGAGTCCTAGCCAATGCGTCTGGTCTTCAGAGCATGGCAGCCTCCCACTTATGTCTGTTCTCTGTTGGGTGCTTTCAGGGCCATTTTCAGTTATTTTTGTAGAAGGATGTTTTTCAGACAGGAAATGAAAATTTGGATCTCACTCTCATAATTCACACAGAAGCCAAAAAGAAGGCTGTTCATCTGGAAAGAGACAGAGGCCGATGGACGGCTATAGAACTCTGGCTCCAGCCGACAGAGATAGGGAGGTGGATGATAAGACAGAGCCACAGGTGACCCAACAGAGAGAGAGAGAGAGAGAGAGAGAGAGAGAGAGAGAGAGAGATTGGATTGCAAGAGAAGCAAAAAGAGGGCGCTTGGGGGCTGGAGAGATGGCTCAGAGGTTAAGAGCATTGCCTGTTCTTCCAAAGGTCCTGAGTTCAATTCCCGGCAACCACATGGTGGCTCACAACCATCTGAAATGAGATCTGATGCCCTCTTCTGGCCTGCAGGCAGACACACAGACAGAATATTGTATACATAATAAATGAATAAATAAATAAATAAATAAAAGAGGGCGCCTTGTCCTAAAGCTGATAGGGAACCTCAGAAAGACCATGACCAAGATAAAAACAGAGCAGTTTCTAGGGACTGGTATACTAACGTTTCACTTGTATTTTATTAAATAAAGTTGCCTGAGGATCAGGAAAGCAAAATAGTCATGCTGGTCAGCCTTACAGACCAGCCAGCAATGATGTACACCTTTAATCCTGGTAGCCATACTAGTTGCCATAGAAACAGGGCGGTGCATACCTTTAATCTCAGTAGTACGTGCCTTTAATCCCAGCCCCAGAGAGCATTGTAAGACTGGAAGAGACAGCTCCCCACAGTCCCATTCTGAGATTCCTGGAGGCGGGATCACCATTTTCAGACTGAGGTCTAGGTAAAAGCCAGTGACTGGCTGCTTTGCTTTTTGGATCTTCAGGTTGAACCTCAGTTTCTCTCTCTGAGCTTTTATTAATCGGTGCTTCAGACTGGACGGTGTTAGCCTAGAGACCAGAAGGTGTGCAGAGGCTGGGGAAAGAGGAGTCTGCACCAGGAGGGGAGGGTTTGATTTCCTTCCAGCGAGTGGACTGGTCTCAGAACCAGCGCGCGGAGACAACCTGGTGTTCTGGCAGCGGTCCCGGGCTGGTGTCGCGAATGGTGGGGGTGATGGTAGGGCAGGGGTGTCCAGCACTGAAGTGTCGCTAGAGACTGAAGGCAGCACTCACCACAGGGCTCATTTTCTTAGAATGAAGATGCTTAACTGGTGGGGGGAAAACCAAACCTGCAAGAACAAAGAGGCGCCGATCCTGAAACCAGTTTCAGAAGGAGCCAAAACGACTGAAGTCTGAAGCCTGGGCTGGGGTAAGTGCCAGTCAGCCTGAGCTGTGTGCTTGGCTGGCAGAAGGGATGCGAGCCAGGCCTTCCCAGCCCGCCTGGGCACAACCCCTGGAGGGGGCACACACTCTTTGGGGCCAGTCATGGCAGTCCCATATGTGCCTGCCAGCATGGAGGGGCAGGGTATTAACTGCATGAAGGTCTGGGTTTACTCAGATCCCTGCAGCGACCATGGCAAAGGCGTTGCCCTACTTTCAGACAAGCTGATGGTTCCCGTTCAGGACAGTGGATTCCGGTGTAAATGTTTTAAAGTCAGCATTTACATTTGCCATGTAGAAGTGCCACAGAACGGGTGCCCTGAAACCACAGGTTTTTTTCCTTAATTCTGGAGGATAACAGCCAAGATGGAAAAGTCCAGATGGCTGGCCTTCCTGGGGGCACTCTCCTTCACATGGAGATGACGGTCTCCTTTCTGTGTCCCCACAGGATCTTCTCTGGTGTCATCATTCCCTCCTCCTCCTCTTCCTCGTCTGACATTTGGTCTGTTTGTTTGTTTTTTGTGATTCCAGGTTTGGAATGTAGGGCCTTGCTCATTCTGATACCAGGCAAGCGCTCCACTGCAGAGCCACACTCCAGCCCCTCACTGGGCTGATTCTAGAAAAGCACTCTACCCCATTCCTATATTCCCTGTCTTCTTTTACTTTTTTTTGAAGACATGGTCTCACTTCAGTGTGACCTTGAACTTTGAGATCCTCCTGCTTCAGTCGCCCAGTGCTGGTAGGATGACAGTTGTTCCCTGCCATTTCCACCCTAGTGTCTTTTCATAGTACATGTTTGGGTCTAATCCACCCACGTGAACTCATCTTACTTGATTACCTCTGTAAAGTCGCGTCTAGAAGTGTGATTTATTCTAAGGTGGTAAAGGCCTGGATTTTAACATAGAAATTAGGACGAAGGGACTGAGGCTGAGCTCAGTGATGGCGTTGCTAGTCTTGCATTCTTGAAGCCCTGGGGCTGATCCCTAGTGCCACACAACTGGGGGGTGGCTCACACCTCATTCATTTCAGCACTGAACGACAGAGGAGGAAGGATCAGGAGTTCCAGCTACAGAGTGAGTTGGAGGCCAGCTTGGGCTGTATGAGATCCTGTCTCAATCAAGCAAGCAATCAATAAATGGCAAAAAAAAAGTATGATTGTTTTTAAGATTCCAAAGATCGGGTTTTTTAATTTAATTAATTAATTAATTAATTTTCCATCCCAACTGTAGTTTCCCCTCCCTCCTCTCCTCCCATTCCCTCCTTCCTCCTTTCTGACCCCCCTTCCCATCCACTCCTCCTCTATTTCTGTTCAGAAAGGGGAGGCCTCCTACAGGTACATTAACAAAGCATGGCATATCAAGTCTTACTGAGTAAGATTAAGCACCTCCTCTTGTACTTAGGCTGAGCAAGGCATCCCAGTAAGAGGAACAGGTTCCCAAAAGCCAACCAGAGCATTAAGGAAAGCCTCTGTTTCCATTGTTAGGAGTCCTACAAATCGACCAAGCTATACAACTGCCACATGTATGTAGAGGGCTTGGGGCTTAGGTCAGTCCTATGCAGACTCCCTGGCTCTTCTTCAGACTCTGTGCGCTCCTATGAGTCAGGTTGGTTGTTTTTGTGGGTTCTCTTGTGATGTCCTTGACCCCTGTGACTCCTACAATCCTTCCTCCCTCTTTTCAGCAGGATTCCCTGAGCTTGACCTAACGTTTGGCTGTGGTCTCTGCATCTGTTTCCATCAGTTACTGGATGAAGGTTCTCTGACAACAGTTGGGGTGGTCACCAGTCTGCTCTCAGGCTACATATGGCTATTGCTAGGAGTCTTAGCTGAGGTCATCCTTATAGATTTATGGGAGTTTCCATTACATCAGGTTTCTACCTGAATCTGAAAAGCCCCTCCATTTCCAGTCGTCTTTCCAGTACCCTCTCTCTTTACCCACCCCCCAACCCGACCTCTCAGCTTCCCATCCCTACCTTCCCCACGATCCATCCAGGCGATCTCTTCTATTTGCGCTGCCTCGGGAAATCAGTGAGTCCCCCCTTGGCCGTCCTTGTTACCTCACCTGTGGTCTGTAGCGTGGTTATCCTTTCAAGAAGGAAGACATTTCTATGAGCAACACCTTTCACCTGAGGTCAAGGACTAAAGGAGCCCGTCCACCCCTGCACAAGTGGACACTCAGAACAGAACTGGGCTTTCCACCACCAAGGAAAGGCCGGCTCTGTTTGCGCTATAGTCCAGGGCCATGGAGAAAGAAAGCAGAGAGTCCATGTGGGAACTGTAGATGGATCATGGCACATGCCAGACCCCTCCAGCCCCAACAGACCTGCAGAGGAGCAAGGCCATCTCCACCTAAGACTCCAGAGCCAGATACCTATAGCCTGGCTCTCGCTGTGGCTCGGAAAACTGGCTCCTCTCCAGGCCTCTCCCTTCCTCTCCCCTTATCTCACCCTCTTCCCTCCCCCCTTCTCCTCCTTTTCTTATCCTCTTTCTCTTCCCTTCCTCTTCCTTTCTTCCCTCCTCTTCTCCTAACCCCCAAGTAGCTGCATCCCAAGTGGGTGGTCTGGTCCTTGCTTATGGCTCAAGGGCAGGTATCAGAGGAGAGAGGGCCTTGACTGCACCAGAAAGTCGTGTGGGGTTCAGGGTACTCAATCGCAGAGACATCAGGAAGGAATCACCAGCTACTTTTGCTGTGTGTGGTGAGACTTCCTAAAAAGAGAACAGTTGTGAATACAGCGCCACATTGGTAGCTACACTTACCTGCTGTGGGTGGGTCCCTTAACCTTACTCCGTTTTTATATCTGTTTTTTCATTCCCTTTACCCCCCCACACATGCTTTATTGTGTTCCTGATATTTCACATTGCTTTGGTTGTTTTGTAGGTTCCATGCATTTTGGGTGCAAATGGAGCTCTTTTCAGCAGCCCCTCCTCTCTTTGAGATAGGGTGTCATATAGGCCAGGCTGACCTTCAACTTCATATGTAGCCAAGGATGACCTTAAACTTTGTTTTCCTACTTTCGCCTGCCTTGTGCAGGGATTGCAAGCGTGCATCCCGACGCCTGGGTTACTGGTGCTGGGAAGGATGCCAGGGCTTGATGAGCACCGGGCACACACTCTACTGACTGAGCCACGCCCAGCTGTCTTTCGCCGTTTCTCACTCTTCCCTCCCTTCCTCCTCATTCTCTCATTTATCGAACATTTCCCCATGGACCCAGGTGACACTCTGCCCGGAATGCTACGGGGACACAAGGTCACGATTAATAAAAACCCAGAGACAGATATTGGGGTTCAGTCTGGAGACCAGAAAAGCAAAGCAATCAAGTCACTAGAGAAGGCTTACTCTACCGAGGTTGAGCGACCGCAGACTAAGACTAAGCAGTCTGAGCCTCTCCTCCCATTTTATATCCCTTCTAGTGCTGAGATTAAAGGCGGTGATTCCCCAGGCCTGGGATTAAAGCCACCCACCTGTGAGCCACCACCACTTGGATTTGTTTCTGCATTGATCTTGTATAGCCCAGGGTGGTTCTGAACCCACAAAGATCCACTACCTCTGCCTTCCAAATCCTGGGATTAAAGGTGTGTGTCACCATGGCCTGACCTCTAGTGGCTTAGTTTTGCCCTTCTCATCTTTGGGCAAGCTTTATTTATTAAAACATAAATAAAAATATCGCTATACACAACAGTCTGGTGACCACCCAGACCAAGATGCAAATTTATCCCATAGGGGTAAAGAAGGCCAAATGTCTCATAGAGGAAGATACTTCTGTCCCCATCTAGGCTTGGTCACCTGAGGCTCTTCTGAACTGCCTTTGTGGATTAAGGGGTGACTAAGCCCCCAAGGGAATGTCATAGTTCAGTCAGCCGTTGGTGGTCGATCCTGGAGAGGAGAGGAGAGAGCCAGGCAGACAGTCGTGTGTCATTGCCAATTCCTACAGATGAAGGGAGCGACTGAGACTGTGGTCTGAGACTTACTCAACCCGGCAACCCCCAGGACTTGGTGGGGTCAGCACACCCACTGACGGAGCCGGAAACTGAGACTGCATGGTTAAGGAGTCCTTGGGACGTGGGGAAGGAAGACACACCCTGTGTCTCCTTGCAGAGTTCCTCCAGGGTCCTTCTGCTGCCCACAGCAAAGCAGAACTATTTAAAGACTGTGGCTCTGTTTCTGCAATGCAGGCAATAAAGGGTGATGTCTTAGTCACTTTTCAATTGTTGTCGTAAAACATCATGGCAACTTACAAAAGGAAGAGTTTGTTGGGGGGGCTCACAGCTGCAGAGGTCAGAGCCCATGGTTGTCATGGTGGGGAGCAGGGCAGCAGGCAGGCGGGCAGGCAGTAGGTGCAGTAGGGAGCTCGTATCTTATTCACAAGCACAAAGTCGGTGTATGCACACTAACTGGGAATGTCCTAGGCTTTTGAAGCCTCAAAGTCCACCCCCTCCCATGACATGACACACCTTCTCCAATATAGCCATATCTACTAAGCCTTCCCAATCTCATCAACTGCAGACCAAACATTCAGATATATGAACCAGTGTGGGTCATTCTCATCCAAACCACCCAAAGATGGTTTCTATAGTGGTATATTATTTGTATTTTGATAAATAAATCTTGCCAGATGCAAGAAGACCAGGCGCAAAGCTAAAGCCACTAGAGGTCAGGCCATGGTGACACACACCTTTAATCCCAGGATTTGGGAGACAGAGGCAGATGGATCTCTGTGAGTTCAAGGCCACCCTGGGCTACACAAATCAATGTAGAAACAAATCCAGGTGGTGGTGGCTCACACCTTCAATCCCAGTCCTAGGGAATCACCGCCTTTAATCCCAGCACTAGAGGGAATATAAAATGGGAGGAGAGAGAGAGGTTTAGTCTGCTTAGTCTGTGGGTGCCCAGTCTTGGTAGAGGTAAGATTTCTCTAGTGACTTGGCTGCTTTGCTTTCCTGGTGTTCGTGTTGAACCCCAATATCTGACTCTGGATTTTTATTATTTGTGCTACAAGCTTCACAGAGTCAAGAGGCAAAATCCAAGCACTATGACAGGGTGAGCTTCTCTAATCCAAAATATGAAATCCAAAATGCATCAGAACCTGAAACATTTTATTTTGTGAAAGGCTCTCATGTAGCCCAGGCTAACCTTGAACTTGATATACAGCCAAGGGTGACTTTGAACCCATGATGCCCCTGCCTTCACTGCTCTAGTGCTGGGAGTACAGGTGGGCAAACCACACCAACATGAACAAAATGTTATTAAAAATTAAAAACTTCAGAATTTAGAGTGATTTGCATTTCAGTTTTTCAAAATAGGATGCTGAACTAAAATTAAACCCCTGCTTCGTAAATTGCCTGTGCCAGGCATTTTGTTATAGCAATGAAAACGGTATTTAATAAACAGCAAGCCTGAACTACTTGAAGAAACAGGAAATGGTCCACTGTATTACCTCGTGTGTGTCTGTGTGTGCGCGCTCACGCGAGCGCGCGTGCATGCATGTGTGCGTGCGCACGCGTGTGCACACGTGATGTACCTCTCCTGTCCCGTGCCAGTCTGTCACACAGTAGTGGTTGCTGCCCTTTGCTGGGTTTACAACTCATTCACCTGCCTACATTAACCGATTAAGGCTGGGGCTGCAGGTCAACAGTAGACTGCCTGCCTAGATTCTCCAAGTGAAGAGATGGGGTGTGACCCAGTGAGAGCCGCTGCCTAGAGTCCCCAGTGAGGGACTTGGGTGTGACTCAGAGGTAGAACATCTGCCTAGAGTCCCCCAGTGAGTGGGTTTGCTCAGGGGTAATTCTTTTGCCTGGATTCGAAAGGCCTTGGGTCCAATTTAGGGATTCAGCGAATTCTCCTACAACTTATGTCAGCCGTCCTGAGCCGAAGGAGTGTTACCCCCATCACAAACACGAAAAGGGAACATCTATTTCCCCATTGTATAGCTTAGATGACCTTGGCTCAGAGCTGTGGCTCTTACAATAAAAAAATAAATCGTTATATTTACTTATTTTGTATGGGGAGGGGGTTGGATTTCTGGGTCTGAGGGAGGAAGTTAAAATGGGACAGAGCTGTTTACAGACACAGTCCTCAAGAAAACCACAACTTCGGAGCAACCAATCAGCAGGCACCCCACAGCCTTCTGCATGC